AAGGTACACTTATGTTCAAATGTTATAATGAGGTATCTTAATATTAATGGCAGTTTTGTCTTTCAATTTGTATGCTGTATTGAACTAAGTAATGGAAATCATACAAAATCAAAAGGATAATAAAAATACAAAAATTATAAATTAAAGAACGTCACAAATATAATTACATGCATATTTTGTGGCAAATATTGAAGCTACCCTGAGCATCTTCCGCTAGTCGCCGTCTAATAGCCACTTCCCTTCCAACCAAAACATCATTTGACTTTGCGCAATCGTCTCAGCAGATGTGTTATATCGTTCGGCAGACGGCCAATGCTGCTCAGTGGCACATCGTAAGAACTGACGCCGGTGTAGGCACCACCGTCGTCGCCGAGCGCTTCTTTAGACGCGCTAGAGCTACCAACATCCGCAGCCGCGCCCACATCCATGCGTCGTTGAGCGGTTAGCGTTAGCGCGGTCGGCGCCGGTATGAGACCGACAGTGAGCGCGGGCAATTGAATATTCACATGTTTATCGTGTTCGGGTGGCACAATACTATTGCTGAGAATGGCGCTGGGAAATTGTTGTTGTGATGGAGTTGGANGGCGCCGGTATGAGACCGACAGTGAGCGCGGGCAATTGAATATTCACATGTTTATCGTGTTCGGGTGGCACAATACTATTGCTGAGAATGGCGCTGGGAAATTGTTGTTGTGATGGAGTTGGACTCTCAAAAGTGGCTCTAGCAGCTGTATTGCCAAGTGGAGGGAATTGTGGCAGTTGTGGTTGTTGCCGCTGATTGAAGATGCTGAAGAAGTTGCTTGTAAAAGGTGATGTTTGTTGTTGCTGCTGTTGTTGAGGATAATAGAATTGCGTGGATGTCGACTTTTGGGGCTGATATTGTTGTTGTGATTGTGTTTGTTCTTCTTGTGCATATTGCTGACTTTGCTTGTGCTGCGACACTTGCTGCTGTTGTTGTTGATGATGCCACGATGTCGACTTTTGCTGCTGCAACGCCAGCTGCTGTTGCTGCTGTGGCGCTGTATAAATTGAATTTCCACCAAATTGTTGCTGTATCGACTTAGGCGCTTGTTGTTGTTGCTGCTGTTGTTGTTGATGATGCCACGATGTCGACTTTTGCTGCTGCAACGCCAGCTGCTGTTGCTGCTGTGGCGCTGTATAAATTGAATTTCCACCAAATTGTTGCTGTATCGACTTAGGCGCTTGTTGTTGTTGCTGCTGTTGCACTTGTGGTCGCGCATTTATCGAGAACTGTTGGAAATATTGCTGTTCCTTCAACTGCTGCTGCGCATACTGCTGCTGTTGTTTTTGTTGTTGTTGAATCAGCTGTTGCTGCTGTATTTTCTGCTGCTGTTGCTGCAATTGTTGTAATTGTTCTAGTTGTTGCTGCTGCGCTAACTGTTGCAGTTGTTTTTGTTGCTGCTGAGTTTGCTGAAATTGCTGACTAAAGTGCTGACTAAATTGCTGTTTTTGTGCTGGTAACTTTTGTTGTTGTTGTATCTGTGATTGTGCAGGATTCGTTGTTGCCGTCGCTGCGACAGCTTGGAAGTTGGATTGCAATTTTTGGTTGTATTGTTGCTGCGGTGGCTGCACTATTTGGTGCCGATTGCGCTCGCTTGTTGTTAGTTTTGTTGCTGTATTCGTTTTCGTATAACTCGTAGTGGTTTGTCCGAATTTCTTCGTGAGGAAATCATCAAGCGCCACATAAGCCGTATTCGTTGTTGGCNTGTTGCTGCTGAGTTTGCTGAAATTGCTGACTAAAGTGCTGACTAAATTGTTGTTTTTGTGCTGGTAACTTTTGTTGTTGTTTCGTTTGTGATTGTACAAGATTCGTTGTTGCCTTCGCTGCGACACTTTGGAAGTTGGATTGCAATTTTTGGTTGTATTGTTGCTGCGGTGGCTGCACTATTTGGTGCCGATTGCGCTCGCTTATTGTTAGTTTTGTTGCTGTATTCGTTTTCGTATAACTCGTAGTGGTTTGTCCGAATTTCTTCGTGAGGAAATCATCAAGCGCCTCATAAGCCGTATTCGTTGTTGGTTTGATTGTCGGCTGCATCACCAGCGACGAAATAATAGAAGACACTGAATTCGGTGCGATGCGTTGACCTTCCGCGCGCGCGATTACAATGCGCGGCGTTGGCGAAGTGGGCACATGCGCGTTTTTTATCTGTGACAATTGTTGTGTACGCTGCGGTGGCGTTAGCTGGGCGGGAGCTGCAAAGAGGTAGAGTGTACATAGTTGAAAGACGAAAGTTTTCTTTCAGCGCAATGTTGGTGTGTGTATGTGTTCGTATGTGCTAATGCGCTAAATGCTCAAGCTGTAGAGTGTGNGTGTACATAGTTGAAAGACGAAAGTTTTCTTTCAGCGCAATGTTGGTGTGAGTATGTGTGAGTATGTGTTCGTATGTGCTAATGCGCTAAATGCTCAAGCTGTAGAGTGTATGTGTTTTCAACATATAAACATTTTGCTTATGAGCGCGCAAACTCACCTTGCGGCGGTGGCTTATTATAACTCTGCGTTACCGAGTTACCAATGGCACGCACATCACTGTCCACCGAAAGTGAGCGCGACATAGCGGCGCTCGGTGCAGTCTGGTAGGCGACTGCGGTGGAAGGTCCACTAGATTGTTGTTGACTGCGGAAATTCTGTAAAACGGAATCATCAACAATGGCGCGTGTTAGCTTGTCAAAGTCGAGAAAAGTTGTAGAGTCATCTTGAGTGGTGACAGTGGAAGAGGAGGAAGACAGTGAGGGAGAGTCGGAGAAAGAGGATGCGGCATTAGGCGCAGAAGATGAAGATGAAGTAGAGGATGAGGACATGGAGTAAGTGACCGACGTAGGCGGCGCGTTTAGTGAATCGGCGTGTGGTTGATTTTTAGTTGATGAAGTGGAGTAGGAAACAGAGGAAGTTATAGATTTTAGCAAATGATCAAGATTTGGCATTCGATTTGGTGAGTTAGCGTCGCGGCCGATCGGTGCTGATTGCTCAGGCAGCGTTGTCGGCGCTGCAGTGGATGTTGTCGTACTTGTACTCGTTTCGCTCTTTGTTGTTACC